TCGACTCGACTCAAAAAAAATGAGTCGAATAGAGTTGGTCTTTAAACTCGACTCGACTCGACTCATTCGGAACTCTACTTTGAATTGATATTATATTGCAAATTATTATCATCATTATGTTATGAATTATTATTATAATTATCAATATTAATGTATTAAAAAGAAAAGTTGTTCATATTTTTTTAGATTCTTTTTTATTAGTTATTACTTTATTATTAATATGTTATGTTGTGTTGAGATGAGTCTATAAACAATTACTATTATTAGATCAATGCAAAGTGATTGATTTTTCTATATCACAATAATAACAATTTACATACTTTTTATTTAATTTCAAAGTTTTTATCAAGTAGCATATTCTTTAAATTTGGTTTTTTTGCTTTGAAAAATTAACTTTTTATGAATAATATCTGATTCTAAAGCTTTTCTTTTTTCAAGTATAACTAAATAGCTTATGTCTTTTCTTTTTCTTTTCTCATAAATTTAGTAGTTTGTATAGTTTCAAAAAAATAAAGTTTAGATTAAATAAAGTTTTTTTTATTTAAGTTTACTTTAGAAGATTTACCAATCATATTAACTATTAAAGAAGAAATTTATTTGAGATACGTTTTAAGCCATAAAAGTTTTTTATAGATGAATAAAATTGATAATTCAATCAGTCTAAAAACTAGTAATTAATTTATAATTTATTCTTTTAATCGATTATTCTAAAATTTTCTAAAAAAAATTATTTACTAATTAGAATTAATTAAAAAAAGCATATTAGATATTATTTTTTGAATTTGTTACTAAATTGACTATTATCTTAAATATAAATACTATATACTATAAATGGGAATCCTCTAGCAAAGGGAAGCTCAGACAATCACGTGATTTTAAAAAAATCGCAATTTAATATTATTGATTAATTTAGTAAATTATAATTTTTCTGTTATTTTTAAAGATTTTTAAAATCAGTTTTTTGCGAACTAAGGTAAAATTTTGCAAGGAATTCATTAAAAGCATTAGTTTTTCTTTAGCAGATTTATATTATTTATTAAATAAAATAAAAGAAAAATACAAAAATTATAATTTATAAAATATTATATTTTTTTAATATATTATATATAAAAAAAAATTTTTTTTCTGAAAGATTAGATCAATTAATATGTAATTAAAAAAAAATTCAAAAACAAAATTTTGGCCGAGCCCATCCCCCGCCCCTTTTGCTGGGGGGAGTCCCCAAATATTATAAAATAATAAATTCTGAAAACATATATTTTAAGTATATTTTAATCAATATCTCACAAAAATAAAATAATAATTCTCATCAAGGCGAAGCTAATGATCATTAAATTATAATCATTAATATGATGATATTGTTTGTTAAAGTTTTGGATTTTATCCATACCCATATAGTATGGATAAGTATAATGTTTTGAATTTTTCAAGTCACGGATTTTTATTGGGAGCCGTGCAATTCAATAGGAAAAGCATATGAAAGGAATTAACATTAAATAATAATCAAGTGAATATAAATAATTATTAATAATAAATAGATAATAAAAATGAATAATTAAAAACTTAAATTAAGATAAAAACTTCCGTTATAAATCAAATATCTACATCTTTTGATCACCTTGCATATAAGATTACCTCATATTATATCACAATTTATCAGATAAGATTTGTATCGAACAAATGAAATTGTCTAACAAGTTGTGACATTAGCAAATTTGGTTTTCTCTAACCGAACAGGGACTAAAAAATTGATAATCTCAAATATTCGCAAAAAATTATTTATAAGGGTCAAACTTTTTTTTTTTAATTTATAATCGAAAAAATTTTACATTTTAAACAATTTACAATTTAAAGTTAATATAATGGCACAACGAGTTCAACAGATTGCTAGTCATCTTGCAGGAAACAACGTAGCTGTTGCTAGAGTTGGAAAGAAAACCCCAGACGATGTAGTCATTGTCACAGCTGTTCGTACACCCATGACTAAAGCTAAGAAGGGTGGCTTCAAGGATACAGTACCTGAAGAGTTGCTTGCTGCTGTTTTCAAGGCTATCCTTGACAAATCAAAAATTGACCCTAATCTTATTCAAGACATTGCTGTTGGTAACGTTCTTCCTCCCGGAGGTGGTGCTACTGTTGCACGTGCGGCCGCTTTATATGCTGGTATTCCTGATACCGCTGCTTTAAATACTGTTAACAGGCAATGCTCCTCGGGTTTACAAGCAATTGTACAAATTGCTCATGAAATAGCACTTGATCAAATCGAAATTGGCATAGGTATAATTTAATTAATTATTATATTTGTAACATTAAAATCTCGTTTTTATATCCTTAATTATGATTCTTTTAATAAAATAGGTGCCGGTGTAGAAAGTATGACTTTTGGTTATGGTGCTGGAGTTATGCCTGAAAATACCTCTGAACAAGTTTTTTCAAATCAAGCCGCGGCTGATTGTTTGTTACCGATGGGAATTACTTCCGAAAATGTTGCAAAAGATTTTGGTATTACTCGCGCTAAGCAAGATGCATTTGCTGCGTTATCTCATAAAAAAGCCGCCGCCGCTCAAGATACTGGCCTGTTCAAAGAAGAAATTATTCCTGTTAAAGCGAAATGGACAGATCCAAAGTCTGGCGATGAAAAGGAAATAGTTGTATCAGAAGATGATGGTATACGTAGGGGAACTACACCGGAGGGTTTGGCCAAATTAAAGCCTGCTTTCGCTGCTGATGGTACTACCACCGCTGGTAGTTCTTCCCAAGTTTCAGATGGTGCCGGAGCTGTTTTATTGATGAAAAGAAAAACCGCCGAAAGATTAGGTTTACCTATTCTCGGTAAATTTGTTCGTGCTGCCGTTGTCGGTGTTCCACCAAGAATTATGGGGATTGGACCGGCACATGCTATTCCAATTGTTCTTAAACAAACTGGACTTACCGTCGACGATATTGATATTTTTGAAATCAATGAAGCTTTTGCTTCTCAAGCTGTTTATTGTGTTGAAAAATTAGGTATTGATATTAACAAGGTTAACCCAAAGGTATGTTTTCAAACGTTCTAAATCTTTGAATAAAACTAAATAACGAATTACATGGGGTGGTAAAATAATAATATATTTGTTTATTTAATATTTTTGTACGATGTAGGGAGGAGCTATTGCATTAGGACACCCACTTGGAGCCACAGGTGCTAGACAAATATCAACTATATTGACTGAATTAAGAAGAACAAAAAAGAAATTAGGTCTCACATCTATGTGTATTGGTAGTGGCATGGGTATGGCTGCTGTTTTTGAAGCTGAGTGGTAAAAAAAATTCGAGATTTTTTAAATAATTATATAATAAAATGTAAAATATCTGTTCGTTATGTTAGTCCGTTATGTTAGTTAACTTTACAGGGTAGATTTTATATGTTAAAAAGATTTATTTTATTTTGTTTTAATGTTACGATTACATTAAAGAACATTAATTATATATACATATAATTATAAAATTATCAAATTATCTAAAATAAATTATAATTTCGAGAATTTTTCTCATTTAGAATGAAAATAAAAAAAGAAATCAGAATCCGCCCAAATTACCCAAATTAAGAATTATCTGTTTTTAACATTTTTTAGTTAAAATGGAATTCAAAAAGGTGCCTAATCTATAACCACCTTTAGCGAGTTGTTTATCAACAAAAGGTATAGCAGCTTTATAATAACCTTGTCCTAAATCTAAATTAGGATTTTCATCAATAGAATCCCAAACAAAAGGACAATTGATTTCATTAGTATCAGTAGCCCAACTTAAAGGACATCGTGTAGTAGCTTTAGCACGTTTTAAAATTGTCGAAGTATGACGACGACGACGACGTGACGGAGTGTCACATGCTACCCATTCATCTTTTTCGGAAACATATGTACCATTTTGAATTTCACTCGTAAGGAACGCTATGTATTTGTCTAGACTATTGTCGAAATCTTGAAGGCGTTTTCGTACTATTTGTGTATCCCAGATGGCATGTAAACTTAAAGAAGAAAAGGAAAAAAAAAAAAATTAGTAAAAAGTTTTTTTTCGAGGGAAGATCGATAATCACGTGTGCCTACTTTGTTTTACGTCCATCAAAGGTTACCGGAACACCATTTCCACCTTTAGAGCGACCACAGACATGTAAAGCTAATTAAAACAAAAGAAAAAGGGAATGAATTAAAAATTCAATCAAATATATTCGCGGTCATAAATTTGTTATATAGGATAGTTACGTTGAGTGATGTCCCCAAAAAAATGTGTTAAGAAACGAAGGGCGATATCTCTTGTATCTCTATCGAATCCATTTTCGCAGTCCAATTGTGTGGTATAATTGGCGATAGCTATGAAAAAAAAACCATTAAATTAGCCATCTTCTAAAGGCAAGCCGAAACAATGCTTCTTTTATAAAAAAAAATGTACACAATGTACACTTACCACCAACAACACAAACGCCATCAGGACAATCCCTTTCTTCATCAACGGAGCAACTTTTACCAGGGTTATCTCGAGTATCAATAAAATGTAAAGGAGCACTCCAAAAAGCAAAAGGACTCCCCTTTTTTTTTTTTATCGTATCGGCCCATAAAGAAGCAGGAGCTAATTTACCACCAAATGATTTATCTTGAAATAGCTTTGCTACCTGACTTTCTACATCGGGTTGAAGAATATTTTGTGCAATTTGTCCGACTGCTTTATGTCCTTCTGCGCCCCATGCATCTACCGAAGATGGAATTCCGATAAGGGAGGTTAAAAGAAAGGTTAAAGGAATTGTTAAAAATGATTTCATTTTATTTTTTGGGTGTTTTCTTTTTAATAAAAAAAAATGAATGATAGGGAAGTGAGGAGGAATTTCTTGATTTCGAATTTTCTTTATTTTGAGAAATTATCTTTTCAATTCGTTGTATTTATTAAGTGTTTTTTCCTTTCACATCCAAACCTGGGATGTTTTGTAAATCACGTGAAAAATTCGCCCGAAGCATATGTGCTCGTGTTCGGCCGTATATATATTAAAAAAAAAATAAAAAAAGGAATTTATACATATTGTTATTAGCCGCCCCGCCGAACATCATTTGTTGTTAGCCGAAGACAAACAACAACAAGATTTTTTTTGAAACAATAATTGTTTTCCAGAAAAGTTTTTTTTTCATTTGATATACTATCTAAGAAAATTAGTGTAACAATTGTTTTATGAAACGTACGCTCTTATAGTGCTTTATATTTATTAAAATTTATACAAATTATTTAAGGAGAATCCGTGGTATTGAGTAAATGCGGAATCGATTCTAATTAATTGACAATTGAATTAAAAAAGTCGTTTGTATTTAATGGCGCAGTATGCGTATTTACCTTAAAAATATATTTTCTTTTGTATATTAATTAGATTTGAGAAAAAATAAATAACGAAAATGATAAAAAAAAAAACACGTACTGACTTATAAAGGTGAATTACCACCGTAATTTTTGGTCACGCATTCTAATTAATTTATCTGTGCAATTTTTGTTTCCATGATTCAGTTTTCATGAAATGCTTATATGAAGCATAACAATAAAGCCCAAGTTTTTACCTTCATATGAAAAATGAGAATTAGTTTGCTAGCTCAGAGGGATTATATTATTTTAGCGAAACTTCTAAATAACAAACTTGGAGAATTTAATGATGTTTTTTTAATATGGTTATTCTTAAAACTTAAATTTACATTTGAATATATTAAAATAAAATTTAAGAGTGAATGAGCAACCCACGCATGTTTATTATAAGTATGCAAGGTTATCTATCACCCGCTCTCCGTTTATCCATTCATTAGAAAGAACTTTTTATGGAAAAGTTTACCAATGTTGAAAAAACTACCCGTACTCCCTTTATGATATTTACTTGTCTTTGGAAAGGAAGAACGGGTACACACAACAATGCAAAGTGGTTTAATCCTACTCCAGTCGTGATAATGACCAGTTTTTAGATTTTTTTTCTAGGCAAGTTTGAATGAATTTGAACTAGTTACTGTACTTCAAAGATGTTTTTGCGATGCAATTAAAATTTGGAAAGGTACAATTACCAGCTGACTAGACCGTGAGTCTAAAGCTAAACAACTATTTGCACAATTCTGAAAGAAAGTTTATGATAACACTAACTTGACTTTTCAGCCAGGTATCTATCTCAAACCTATTTTCGTATTTGATGAGGCATGCAGTCTCTCTTTTAAGCGTGGTTACTAAACGAAATTTTTGCAATATTTACAGACACATTATCAGAACTCCTTCCGCTTTGATGTTGTAAGTGAGAAATAACTGATCGTGCAAACCTCTTCATGCTCGGAACAACCATGGTGGGATTCTTGAAAAGAATGACGTTAATGATTTGGTTTCAATTGCACTGCAAAAATTACTCGGTCGAAATTTAACGGTTTTAGATTATATGCCGTTATTATCAAACCGGAGAACATTTCATTATTCATAATAAGCAAAATTATATTTCCTGTTTTAACGACAAAGGTGACGGAGTGGCCGGTCTTTTTGGATCGGGTCGATCCAACCCTAGCGAAATCTTGAAATTTGAAATCAATGGTCATTTCTAATTTGCTACTTATTTTTTTTTTTTTTTTGATCAAAATTGTCTTAAGCAACTCGAGCGATTTTAGTGATTATTAGCTTATTGATTCTGATTAAAAAATAACACGTTAATAATTCATTTACATTGGTTATTACATCTATGCACTTCTCAAGAAAAGAAAAAATGAAAGCTTGCTCAGTGTCGATCCTTTAATTGACACAATGAAATTTTTTTTTAAGGTGCGTATTTACTGCGTCGCTTTGCCAATTAAAGAACAATGATTAATTTGTTCTGAAACTATGTGATTGTAGTCTATAATAATCATATGTTTACAAAAAACCCCTAATCTTTATTTAGAACAATCATGTTTAAAATTAGTATAATTTTATTTTTAAAAGTATATAAAGTGTCTTTTTTAATTAAAAAAAAAAATTACGGTAAATTAAAAAAAAATAAAATTAAACTTATCCCGCCAATATTATCAAAGAATGTCGATTTTTTTAACGTCGTTATCACTGGATTTTTCCAATATTCTGGATGATTCAGATGAATATAATGTTTTAATTAAAGTTGGTTCGGACGAATGTAATGAAAAAACTTTTCAAGCTCACTCACTCGTATTAAAGGCAAGGTCTCCTTATTTCAAAACTGCCTTGTCTAATAATTGGGTCAAAAAAGAAGGAAAGATGATGATTTTTAATAAACCAAATATTTCTCCTTACATTTTTGAATCGATTCTCAAGTATGTGATCAATTATACATATAATCTTATTTAATAAAAGCAAAAAAAAAAAAATTTTTTTCCGATTCTCACATTTCTTACATTCTACTTAAAATTATAGGTTTATGTATACAGGGATCATAAAAATGGAGCAACACAAAGGAAAGGATTTATTAAAATTGTTGGTAGCATCCGATGAACTACTGCTTAATGAACTACATGAAACAATTCAAGATTATTTGCTTTTACACAAATCCGATTGGTTACAACAAAATTTCGCTCTTGTACATAAAACGGTATTTCAATTAGAAAGTTCCAAAGGATTACAAGAATTTTGTTTGATAATCATCTGTGAAGAACCGCAGTTAATTTTCAAGGCAAAGGATTTTACAAACCTTGAAGAAGAAACGTTAATCACATTATTAGGAAGAAGTGATATGGATATGGAAGAAGTTGTCATTTGGGATCATATATTAGAATGGGGTATAGCTCAAAATCCAGAACTCACAATTGATATATCAAAATGGAAAGATGAAGATTTTGCTTTACTTAAGGAAACTCTTAATAATTTAATTCCTTATATAAGATTTTTTATAATGAATTCCGCGGAATTTTATAACAAAGTTCGTCCTTTTAAGAAAATCCTTCCAAAAGAATTATACGAAGATTTAAAGAGATTTCATTTAAAAACCGGATTACAACTTAAATCCGAATATTTACAAACTCAAAGATATGTTGGAGTCAAATCAACCATAATTGATCAAAATCATGCCTCAATGTTATGTTCTTGGATTGATGGTGTTGGGGTAGATTCGACTTCACTTCCAAAAAGTTGTGAATTACCATATGAATTTAAATTACTATGTAGAGGTAGTCGGGATGGATTTGCTGCGACAACATTTCACGATTTATGTGATAATCAAGGTCCAACTATCGTTTGTCTTAAAGTGAACGATTCAAATCATGTAATTGGAGGTTATAATCCACTTTCTTGGGGGTCCACAAATTCTTGGAGAAGTACGCGTGATTCCTTCCTTTTTCAATTTAACATTTATTACAAGAAAAATTTAACGGCCAAAATTAGTCGCGTGTCAAATAATTGTGCTGCTTATGCTATAAGTGATTTTCAATTGAATGGACCATGTTTTGGAGATGGTGACTTGTGGATGAAGGATCAATTTAATCAAGCTGGAAGTTGTTATTGTAATAAAGAATCTTATGAACAGTCGGTTGGTGATATGTTTCATAGAGATTCTTGGGAAGGTTGGACCGGTAAAAATGGTACCTTTGCTGTTAATGATTATGAAGTTTTTCAAGTCATAAGAAAACGAGTTATTAACAATTAAACGAGGGGATTTTTTGAAACTGAGAAAAAAATTTTTTTTTTCATTAGTTTGGATTGTAAATTTTTCATCTTAAAAAATTTGTATATATACTAAATAGTATTAAATTTATTTATTACTCCTTATCAGGACAATGTGTATATTTTATAAAAAGAAAAATAAAGAAAATTTATTAAATAAAAAGCAAAAATGATATACAGTGCTCGCGTGATATGTAATGGTGACAAATAGAAATTTCACGATTAAAATACTAGGCAAATCATAAACTTCAAAGCCATGGTAATATTAATTCTATGTCTAGCATATAAGTAGCAGTTGTAAAGCATTAAAATTAACTATTTTTATGCAAAGTATTTTTTTAATACCCTAACCAATTTGAGTATCTATTAGTATCACATAAAAAGAAAGTAAAAGTAACTTAGAATATCTACAAAATATTTTATAATTTAAAAAACATTTTTATTTAAAAAATGCGATTAATTAATTTATCTGAACTATGAATAATATCACATAAAAATATTAGATGATAATATCATATTGAATTAAAAAAATTAAGCTGATTTAAATATATGAATTTATCTAATATTTTAGATTCTTCAGATATTTATTATTCTTATTATAATTTAATAATTAATATTTTATTTTATTTAAATATTATATTTATTTATTTTATCTTTTCTTTATATATTTGATTAATTTATTTAAAATAATTAGATATAGCAAAATAATTTTATAAATAGAATAATTCTTTATTTAAATTATAATTAATTTTCAAAAGAAATCAATTATAAATTATAAAAATACTTTTTTTAATATGTTTTTCATTTAGGATTTGATTATGAATTATTATCAAATTTTCTTACTTATTTTTATGAAAATATGTCTTATTATTCACCTGATTCTTTCTTTTAGTTATGGTTTGGGTTGGCACTCAACCATTTGATTGTAAACAAACAGTTAAACTTTATAATAAAATTTGGCTAGCAAAAAATATATATATATAATAAATAAAAGTAATGAAAAAATTTTTAACTAGACTTGTTATAATAAATGAATCTTTAAGACATGTCTATCTCATTTTTGCAATTATTAACATTTATAACCCTTGGAATTTTAATTATTACTTTCTGCAATCTGTGATATTTGACCATTTTCATGAGTAAAATATGGTATAAGATTGGAGATTATAGAGTTTAAGAAACTTCTGAATTATTTGCCTTATTCTTTTAGATTGATTGAAATAATTCAGGGGAAATTAAGTTTTTTTTCCATTAAAAGATCTCATCCTTATTAGTAACAAGAATGTTAATGTTAAACATAAATTGACAAGTCAAAAAAATAATTGTAATATTGGCTTAAATTTTTGATGAAACATTAATGATAAAAGATACACATACTTTATTTTTAGATTACAAATTATAATATTTTATACCATATTAAATAATCAGATTCCTCGAAAAAAAATTATATTATACACATAAAGGTACAATTTATTACGTGTTAAAAATCGAACAGTTTTGTTCATTTACTATAGAATTAACTATATAATTAAGTTACGTATAATTTTGTTGTATTGGTGATTTGATATGTAAAAATAACCTTTTTTTTTTTTTTTTTGATTAATATATATTCTTATGGTACAATATCGATAATTAGCGATCAATCTAAAATATAAAAAGGATCGTTAGAATGATATCAATTCAAGAATTTTATATATTTAGAAAAAATCAAATACTAACCTCTCCAAACACAACATCAAGTGTACCGATCACTAAAAATTCAGAAAAATTTTAATAAAATGAAAGATCATAATTCAAATTATACAGTGCTATCACAAATTAATCATCCTTCAATTCTTCTCAACTATTCTTAAAACAGATATTCTTAATAAAATAAATACCTGCAACTACATCAGGAACAAGATGACCTTGAATCATAAAATCTGTTCCAGCCAAATGAGCAAAGCCTGGAGCGCGAATCTTACATCTGTATGGTCGGTTGGTGCCTATAATAAATTCGTGTTATAATAACTTCATACGAATATAGTTAAAAATTATTCATTATAAAAACATACCATCAGAAACCAAATGAACTGATGGACGAAAAACGAAGATAAAAGTTGATATAAATCAAAGTTAATAAGTAACAAGAGACAATTCGAGTTTTTAACGGATTAATTACGTACCTCCGAATTCGCCTTTTGGCGCTTCAATCACCGTATAAGTTTCTCCCGGAGGTACGGAATATCCTTCCGAATATAATTTGAAATGATGGATTAAGGCTTCCATAGATTCTTTCATGCTGGACCTGTTAGGAGGGGATATTTTCCAGTCATCGACTTTAATAGGACCATGAGGCATTTGGTTTAAACATTGGTGGATAATTCTTAAACTTTGTCTCATTTCTTCAACCCTACATAAATATCTATCATAACAATCTCCATGAGAACCAACAGGTATATCAAATTCTACTTTATCATAAGCATCATAAGGTTGTACTTTGCGCAAATCCCATTTTATTCCAGAACCACGTAACATAACACCAGAAAAACTATAATCTAAAGCTTGTTGAGCCGTGACTACACCAATTCCAACAGTACGCTCTTTCCAAATACGATTTTCTGTTAATAATTCTTCTACTTCATCTACCCTTGTACCATATTGTGTGGCCCATTGATAAATGTCTTCCATCAATCCAAGTGGCATATCTAGCGCAACTCCACCCGGACGAACATAAGCTGCATGTAATCTAGCTCCCGACACACGTTCATAAAATTCCATCAACTGAATGAGATGGAGAAAGTAATGTGAGTTAAAATAATAAGAAATAAATTTTTTAAATCCAAAGAAATAATCTTATGATACCTTTTCTCGCTCCTCGAACATCCACAAGAAAGGAGTCAATGCACCGATATCTAATTTTCAAAACAACATATTTTTAAAAAAAGATGTTTGTTTAGTAACTTGTCTCCTTGTCCATTTCGAAAAAGATTATCTAAATACCTAAAGCATGACTCATTAAAGCCATAATATGATTCAGGATTCTAGTAATTTCTCCGAATAAAGTACGAATGTATTTAGCCCTTTCTGGAATTTCAATATTTAATAATTTTTCAACAGCCAATGAATAAGCTTGTTCATTTGTCATCATCGATACATAATCCAATCGATCGAAATAAGGTAAAGCTTGTAAATATGTCTTATATTCAATTAATTTCTCCGTCCCACGATGTAATAATCCAACATGAGGATCTGCTCTAAGGATCTGCTCTCCTTTTAATGTAAGGATCATGCGGAGAACACCATGAGCTGCTGGATGTTGCGGTCCAAAATTAATCGTATACCCTTGTGTTTTTAATTCTTGTGGATCGCCAGATTCTATGTAAAAGATTAAAAAAAAATTTAAAAAATTCTTTTATTAGCCCGGAACGAAGTGAAGGACTATATATGTCTACGCAAAGTGTCCCGCTCAAAAATTGAGTCGATGCTGATTGGCTTTTGCAATATTTTTTTAGTTAAGATCGTTCAGGACTTAACTACGGTCCCCGTTTCCTATATATTTTATCTCTATAATAATCATTTATTAAAGCTTTTAAATATGTGAACTTTTCAAAATTTTTACTTTATATAAAAAAATAATCTTTTTAAAAAAAATAATTTTCAAATAATTCAACTGCTAACTCTAGCCCTGCGTAATATATTTACATTATTTTTCAAAATCTAAAATTTTCTTTGCTTCTATCTCTTTAGCTTTCATTAACGAGCACGGCTTGAAAACTACGACATTTTCCGGTAAAATTCCTAAATTTTAAATTACAGCTAATTTCAAAAGTCACGGGACGGACGATCATTTTGCAGATCGATGAAAAAAAACTCGGTAAACTCGTTATAGAATTTTTTGAAGAAAAAACATTATCGCTACGTTCAGATCAGTGTTCCGAATATAACATAATTTTTTTACCCATATAAAAATGTGGTTGGCTTTTTCAAATCCTTATAAATGTTCTCGGAAAAGTTTCGGTTATTATCGGCTGTCCCGTGACTTATGAAATTAGCTGTAAATAACGTTTTTAAAATAACATTCAAAAAAAAAAAAAAAAAAAATACCTGAGTGAATATAAAATTGCTTAAAGAATAACGTGACAGTCTGCTTTCTTGAATAAGATTCTTTTTAATATTAAGACATATCACGAAGGTTTATTTTCTTGAAAAAGAATGAGCTATTTTAAAAATTTGACCTATGACTACGGCCAGTCACGTGATTTGATTATGATTAACAAAGTTGACCGACATGATAAAGTTGGAACTATTTATTATTTATATTATTCATATTCGTTATATTTATTAATTATAGTTAAGTTATTATGTTTCTTATATTTTTATTATTATTATATTTCAGATTATATTTTAATAGTTAAAATTTTATTATTAGCATTTTAACTTTTATAAATATCATTGTTTTCCCTACCGGTTAATTAACCGGTTAAAGATTTTTTTAACCGGTTAAAATAGATGAATTTAAATCCAGCCGAAATCAATTTCCGACCAGAATTAAGATTTTTATAATTGCAAATTATTGTCTAACTCTGGCAAAATTTGTAGTACTGGCCAAAGTTAATTTTAACCGGTTAAAGAATTTTTGGCCGGCTCCAACCTCTATATTGAAATAAAGTAAATCGTTTTCTTTTACAGTTAGATCGCTATTATGACATTTTCAATTGCCCAAGGATAGTCGTAACTGTTTCCATTTGCCATGTGTGATGACCAAATTCGATATTCCTTGACTTTGTTTATTTTTTTTTGATTATAAAGCAAAATACATAAACCTAATTACGTTCGAACGTATATATATAAAGTTTATATAAGTAATTTACGAAAGTTATTATTTTAAAGAATACTAATAAGAAAGGAAAAAGTGGGAAAATTTAAAGATACTTTTTCAAGACATGATATAATCAATGTTACATAAACGAATAATTACCTAAAAATCATTAATTTGTTTTGATGACGTGACTTTACTATTATTATTGATATGATTGATAATTTCTATAAAATTCAACGAAAAAAATAAATTACCGGTTTAACAATGAAACGAAATAAAAGCATAATGTAACGTTAAAGAATTAATTATATAAATTAATTAAGAACATTTGATTTAAAGAATACTTTACTTTCTTCAATTTTACAATTTGTATCACGTGATAAAGAATTTAAATCTGTTTAATAAATTTGATATTTTTAAGATCGAAGGAAGTCATCAACAAATAATAATCATGACATTCTTTCATGATTAAAATTTCCATTGATGTAGAAATGATAGTGCTTCGAAGTATTGAAAAAGCATCATCAGGAATGTGCTTCTTAAGAAATACATAGATTACGAATTTCAATTGGAAACATTATAACTCGCATTATAAGATAAAGTTGAATTATGTAAAAAATATGCAATCTTAATATCTAGCTATGGTTAGTTCGATTTCTCAATCATAAGTTTCTTCAGATTGAATAAATTAAAAGAATGGAGATTGTTCTTTAGGTGTATTTTTTACTTTAGAAATTAATGGAACGGGATGTAGGGGGAGAGAAAAAGATATGGGTGGTAAGCTATTAAAATCACGTTACGGATCATAATGATTTACTTGTTATGTTCGTAACTCGATTTTAATAGCAAACCTCGTAGATCACAATATACTTTCTCCCCCACACACTGTTAGTTAGGAATCAACGATCGATTCTAAAAGTGAAAACTTACTTGCATATTTAAAATTTTGAAAATTTCGGTGATTGAAATAATTAAATTCTAGAAAGGAATTGTTTATCTTTTCATTTATAATTGCCGTTTCCTTACGTTCTAAATAGATAACTCAAAATTTAATCTTTTTTTTTTACCAATTTAAAATGTTAAACTAAAGTATGGTAAAGAACCATATTTATCTTATTTTTTTTTTTTTTGTAATAATTAAATAACGATGTGTAATATTATCATATTTCATAGAATTTTAAAGTTTATATTTTGTTTAATAAAAGTTAAGGGGACATTACATAAAGCAATGTTCAAAAGATTTAAAACTTTAAAGCTCGTTAGATGAATTAAATATCCTGTTATTTTGAAAATGATCTAGTAGTAATTTACAAAACACGTTTTTTCTCGGTTAAATTTTCATGAGATTTTACGTCATCAAATCTCTTCCGAACTTCATGAATAGCCTGAATAATTTAAATAAGAATTAAAATAAATATTAAATTAGCTAACTTACCAAATCTTTCGAGTTTTTAAGAATTAACGATGATGAAATTCGAAATCGACTTAATAGTTAATTATCGCAGGGTAACCCTTGAATTCAGATGTAAACTAACAGATGTAATTTCTGATATATAATCATAGGCGATAATAACTTAATGCACCTTTTGTTTATATACCGGTAAAATGGTTTACTTAGAATAATACATTGTTTGTCGAAGCCTGGAATGAGCAATAGCAGAACATATTGTTGAAATTCGAATTTAATTATAAATTTAGTAAAATTAAAAAATACATTCAAAAATTAATTGTAAACGAAAAAAAGAATAGTCATTTTTTTTGGTGGGTTACTTAAACAAAAAGAAAAACTTACTCTAAACTATGATAATATATGTCATGACTCTCTAAAAGCCGTAGGCTCACAGCGCTTCAAGGATACTTTCTGAAGGGCTACCCTTGTACTAACATTAGCCATTTACAATTAAATTTAGCATCAAAAAGTTTTTGACTTAACATTTTAACTGATAACCTAGCAAATGATGACAATTCAAAATGATCTTCCGTTCATATGGGATCTTTGCAATAGAAAAGGGGGAAACGGTTGGAAAAAATAAAAAATGAGTTATACCTAAAAATCATTTTTGGCATATGAAAATAAAATTGATTTTTCCGGTAGTTTCACCCATTTCTATTGCAAAGGTCACATATAATTATGAGAATTTTGTAACCCGAATACTTTAAAATCGAAAATCCGGAATATTATAGTTATATAAATCCAATTTATTATGGACACAGCAGTGAATTAACTAAAGTTTCCTTCCAAAACTCTTGGGTCACTGTCAAACTAAATAAAACCATACCGTCAAATCAAAAACCATGATAAAGCCTTAATAAAAATTCGTCGAATATAGGATTTTTAACTATTGCCATTTGCTAAATTAAAAAATTTATCGACTATAATATTTCCTTGTAGGCTCGAAATTCATATATTTGGTTGTTTTGATATTTTGATATTCCTCATCCATTGATCTTTTTTTTTAGTCATGCAGAACCTTTTCGAAACTATACTTACTGTATGTATACAAACAAAATACTCAATATATAACCTTGGTTAAATATCAAATTCTTTTATCAACAAAATTGCTCATTCTTCAAGAGTATAGGGTTGAATCGGTCCGGTCCCAAAAGACCTTCTTTGGACCGGAACAGTCCATAGGTCTTAAAACCGGTCTTGAGTAGGTACTGGTCCTATATTTAATTCTATATTCATTCTAGACCGATTCATAAGACCGGTCCTAGAGCCGTTATTAAATCTTACAGCATAAAATAATAAAATTTACTAATGTCCAAAATGGAGTACAAGAAGGCGCAGTCGTTTTGACGTAGGCGGTGACACATTCATCGAGCTAAACCTTTTTTGACAATTTCTCTCCAATACGTTAATGAAGTATGCATTTATTAAAGTATGCATTTATTATACTTTTATATTTTATATTTTATAAAAATGTACTGTATATATCAAGTGAATGTAGTTTGCTCCATTCTAATTTCTAACACGATCTGCAGAGCAGAGTCATAGTTTGATTATAAATAAAATCTGCTCCGGACAGTCCTCAGAATTTGGACTGAGGACCGCAAGGACCAGTCGAATTAACCGGTCCGAGACCGGTCTTACCAGGACCGATCCATCTATACAAGAGTACGTCCAAACTTTCCGGGTAAATTATTGATTACTAGGTTTTTTATTTTTATTTTATTTTTTTTTTTTCTTGGCTTGGTCAAAAATTACATTTAATCCGGTTTTATGGCTAATGTGGCAATCATTTATTAGGATGGCTGTGTTAAAACAAACAATGTGGCTGTTCGTTATTTTATTTTATTTAAGATTTAAATGTTCCACTTTTACAAATAAATTTTGAAAATAAATACATTTTTATTATTGTTATTAAAAAAAAAAAAAAAAAAAAGATCGACTATAAGCAACTTACAGTACATATCCAAAGAATGTGAGAGTAATAAAAGATATTCTTCAAAACCAACGTTTGAATAATTATCGATATAAATGTGATTACTCCAAATATATTGGGGGCTTTGCTATTAAAATCACGTTACGGATCATACAGTGGCTCCCAAATGTTATGCATCATTTGGATTTTTTTATCCATCTTTTCCAAAAATGGCGATGCGTTACTTTTGACCGTTTTTCTTACATATCAATTACTATATATGGAATTTGGTAAACTATAAACAAACTAGCAAAAAAAATTTATTAAACTGCTTTTTCAGCCCCCTTTTTTATCTATTTCATTAAATTTTCCAAAAAAAAATGGAACGTTTATCTATTGGAAAAAGAAATAGAATACATTCACTTATTCAAAAAGGGTTTCCGTCTCATTTCATTGCTTCTTGTAAGAAGGTTGCTCAATCTACTGTTATTAGAATAAAGCAGAAGGTGGAGGCTATAGATTCTGTAAAGGATTTACCAAAGTCAGATCATTCAAAACTCTTTACAGGGAGAGATAAGCATAATATTATAAGAATGCTTTCATCTGGGAAGTGTTTTACTGCTGTAGATATTCAAAAAAATCTAAAAAGCAATAGTAAAATTGTTGTAAGTGAAAATACTGTGAGGCATGTATTATATAGAAATGGTTTTTCTTCAAGTGTTAAGAGAAAAAAGCCATATTTAAAGAAAAACATTGTCAATTATACTTAAAATTCGCTAAAAATATAAAGACTGGAGAGTTGAAGAGTGAAGCAAAATAATTTGGTCTGATGAGTCCAAATTTATGTTCTGATAGACATAAATATTGTTAGAAAAAACCTGATGAATCCCTTACTGATAAGCATGTAATTCCTACAGTAAAATTTGGTAGAGGGTGTATTATGGTATAGGGATGCTTTCTTCTTTTGAGATTGGTAACATTGTAAGAATTTATGGGAATATGAATGGTGAATTATATCAAGAAATATTAAAGGATAACCTTCTGGAAACAATCAAATGGCATGAGGTTGATAAAAGTAATATTATATTTTAGCAGGATAATGATTTCAAACATACTGTAAAACTAACATATCAGTGATTTGAGAATAATAATATTGATGTACTTAAGTGGCCATCACAATTACCAGATTTAAATCTGATAGAACATTTATGGAATGAAATTGATAGGCATATACAATGATATTCTATAGGAATTCATACACAAGATAAACTTTGGGATGCAGTATAGAAAGTCTAAGTTGAGATAAATATAGACTTTCTTAACAAATTAATTGAAAGTATGTCAGAGTGTATAAATGATGTAATAAGTGCAAAAAATGATTATACTATGTGGTGAACTTTAAATTAAAAAAAATTTTGCTAGTTTAGGTTAGATTTTTTTATTTAATTATTTATTTATTTAAGATTAGGTATCAGAAATAATCAAAAGTAATGCATCACGATAATTTTGATTAAATTTTTATTTATTCAATTTTTATATTAATAAATTAAAATAATAATTTACCTTTTATATTATTACGATATAATAAATTAAATAAATTATAAATTTTATTTTTTTATAATGTATATACAAAGTAATTAAATTTTAAAATTTACCAATTGGGATAATTCATAACATTTGGGAGTTACTGTATGATTTACTATGTTCATAACTCGATTTTAAAAGCAAACTTCCCATATATTAAATTTGATATAATAAAATATGTCCTTAATACAAAAATACTTCTAAAAGAATTGTAGATCAATTTATTTTTTATAAAGAAGGTCCAATATCAACCTAATTATATCAAGATATTACTTTATATAAACTTTAATTTTATTGATAATTAATAATAAACAAAATAGTATATTTTATTATATATCATTGTTTTGTCTTCTTAGTTCAGACAATTCTCTTTCTAAAGCTACTTTTTGCTTTAATAATTCAAGAGCTCGTTCCTCCTATTCTAACCATTTTTGTCTTATTTTAATATCATTTATTTATATAACTTCATTTGAATTATTTTTAATTTTTTGCTTTTTAGGTGATCTAGCTATTAAATTGCTAGTAGAAGCTATGATTTCTAGTTCCTTTCCTTTTTGTTTTTCTAAAATTATATGTAATAAATTATCCTTTATTAAGCATATAATTATTAATTAAATATTAAATTATTTAACTTACTTGAACTTTAGCAGCTTCTTTATATCTATTGACCTGTAATTTATTTATACCACTAGTTGATATATTATATTTTGTAAAATTTAATGTTATATTCCATTTTTTATAATCAAATTCTTCAGCTCTAAAGTATAAAATAAATGTTTTTAGTAAAAAAAAAAAAAAATTGATTTTATAAAATATATAATAAACTAAACTTACTTTTAATAATAGCTAATAAAAATAAATAAGTTCCATCTATATTAATACTATAATGTACACTTTCAATAATATTTGTATTATTTCTATTAGTATTCCAAATTTCAAGATTCATTTTAGTATAAGCTGGACTAATTACTGATATAATCTAGGGAATTCTTTTATCTGCAAGCCATTTTATAAATAAAAATTTGAAAATTAATATATTTAATTTTAAAATAATAAATTAAAAAATAACATACCTTCTGCAACTTTAGATTTGCAATATTCAATTAATTTAAATGCTTTTTCTACTTTATTTTTAATTTTATAAGTTGATATAGCTCTCATAATATTTTTTATTTCTTTCGAAACATCTTTTAATTTTTTTATATTTCTAAATTAAAATTAAATTAATTTAATAAATATAAATTTTAAATTTTAATTAATTATTATTTACATACCTATTATAATGAACTATACATATTTTAAAAATATGCTTAAGGTATTCTTCAGCAGACATTTCTGAAATACCTTTCATGTAAAAAGTTTTCAAGTCCTAAAATAAAATTTTATTATTAAAAATATTTTATTTAACAAATAATAAATTTTATATAATTACCAATAGTTTGACCTTTATGTGCATCAGCTATAATATAACCAATTCTATTAGAATTTAAGTTTAAATAATTAAATTCAATTTTTTTTCTATTATCTTTTTCAATAATAGAAAATACTTCATAAAAAATCCGTTTATATGCTTCAAAAGATTTAGCATTAGTAAAAACTCTAGCAAATATTAAAACTAAAAATATATATATATTTATAATTAATTAAATTTATTATATTTATAAAAATGTTTCTTATTTAATACACTTACTTTTATTAATATTTTTGATATAAGAGGTTATTTCAAATTCTTTTATAACATTATTACTAATTTTTGAATTAATATACTTAAAAGCAATATCAATTTCAAAATATTTTAAATTTAAAAACTTCATAAATTGTTGCTTAGACATGCAAATAATAAAAACCTTTCCATTATCAAAAATATTTAAAAATTAAATAATTAGTAATTTTAGTTAATTTGTATAATTGTATAAGTGATAAAGTAATTTTATTCATTATTATATAAATTTTAAAAAATCATCATAATAATCAATAATCAAAATTTAATGAATAATATCTTATTTTAATTCTCTCATTAAATTAAATCTATTTATAGCAAAATAATAAAAATTTGATCTAGTTCTAAAGTATTCCGTTTAATATTTTCTATTAATAATATTTAAATTTTAAAATATAATACTTACAGATATTTCTAATATAAGAATTTTCACATTATTGTTAATATAATGATTCATGAACAATACATAATTAAGTAATTAATTTATATAGATATAATTAAAATTAAATAATAATAATAAATTATTAATTATTAATATATCCATTAAATTACTTCCATGCGGATATTGTAATCTTCTTTGTTTTCTGACATAGTAATTTAATTTTATAGAATTATTTAATAAAATATAAAGATTATTCATAAAAATAATATTATTTAAATATAAATTTAAAAGTTGTCCTAAACATAAAACTTATTAATTTATATTTTAATAAATAAATTACATATTTAATTAAATATAATTTACCTGTTAATAAAGTTCTTCCTATAAGATTTAATATGTCTTCTTAATCAATAATTTCATTAAATTATTCTAAAATATTAGATGGTGTAGTCATAGGAGGTGAAGTTAAATGGTTTTGAATTTCTTTTAAAACAATAATAATAAATGGATAATTTTCTAAATTATCTAATGTAAATGAATTAAATTAAACATTGCATTTTTGAGTAATTATTGGTATTTCAATGACCATATTTTAAATTAAATAAGAAAAACCTATAAATATTTAAAAATAAATTAAATATTTCATATATTTTATGTAAATTATAAATATATAAGGTATATATTGTAAAATTAAAAATCAACATACAACAAGTTGTTTATTTTGAAGAATTATGTGAAATAGTATTACAAGTTTATAATTGTAAAAAATCTAAATCATTTCTCTATAAATAAATAATTAATAATAAATAATAATAAAAATTTAAATTAATAAATAATAATAAATATTATACCTTTTCAAAATCTTTAAAAGAATAAAATTTATAATCTTTAAATAATTCTTCTAAATAGTTATTATCAATTCTGTTATCTTTTATAAGAATATATCTATGTCTTTTTTGTGAATTTTTCCAATCCCAATTAGCACATCCAATAAAAAAAATGCATTTTATATTGCCTAATATTTTTTTTAATAATAAAAATAATTAAACTTAATTTTTTAAAAATATTTTAAAAAAATATTGTAAATATTAAGTTTTTATGTTTTTTTTAAAATAAGCATTCCATGATAATGAAGATTTGTTTCAGAATTAATAAAAGAACAAGGAGTTTATATGCAACAATAAATTGAATAAAATATTAAATAAAAAATAAAATATTATAAAATATTTCATTAAATAAATATAAATATTAAATTATTTATCTTAAAGTAAGCTCTTGAGAATTATAATCTTTTTGATCTAATAATTTATTATAATATTCATTTTCAAAATCTACAATAGTATGTTTTCCTTCTAATATTTGCTTTAAAGCAAATTTACATATTTTGATTCCTTGACATGTTCTAAATTCTCTTTTACAAGCAACACCTAAAAATCAGTGATTTTTTAGATTTGCTATTTTTTCAGGATCACCCAAAGAATATTGAATGTTTCTTAATCTAAAAATTTTTTTTGCTTGATCAGTATTCTATCCAAAAATATTATAAATTGAGGCAACTTCTATTTCAGAACTTTTTGGATACTCTTTAAACTCAAAAAAATATTCAATATCATAAATTTCAAGATTTAGTTCAAATATAACTATTATTTAATTCTATATAATAATTATAAAAAATTAAATTACATATTAATATAATTAAAAAAATATAAAAAATAATTACTTTAATGCTGATATTAGAGATTGTTTTATCTTCATCGCTCAAATTATTATTTTCTAAATTTATGTAAAGAGTTTCCTATTAAATATATAAAATATTTTGTTTTAATAAATTTAATTGCAATATAAATTTCATAAATAATATAGCATTTGCTATTCTATTATAACGTAATTTTAAATGATACAATTTCATTTTTTGAAAGATTATTATTTTTGTTATTTATTTAATTATTTTATATTAAAATCTATTTTATTTTATTTAATACATACAGTTGGATCAAAAAATTCTTCAATATTGTTACTAGAACTATTAGAAATATTATCTGCCATTTTATTTATTATTAGTATCAAAAAAAGTAAAGTTTTATTAAAAGAAATATAAAGTATTAAGATTAGAAAATAAAAGTATTTTTTAAAAAAATTTATAAAATGTGAGAAATTTATTTGTTTGTTGATCATTTAGTTTAAAAAATTAAAAAGAAAGTTTGTAGTAGATTTTTAATATAGTACAGTAAAATACATTTAGATAATTACATATAATTATTGATTAGTACAGTATAATTATGCAAATAATTAAGTTTCTATTATAGAACTAGTACAGTATGATGTCAAAATTTATAATTTGCATAATTATATTATATTAATCTGACATCGCATATTTATGAAATTAACTTATAATTAGTTAAATTTATAATATAATACTGTTACAGGGTAATAATTATATGATCTACAAATGATTTACTATTATAGCATAATACCAAATAATAAACATGTTTAATATATTAAAATGTCAAACATATTAAATATGTTTAACATATTAAAATATCAAATATATTAAATATATTAAATATATTTAATATATTTAATATGTTTAATATATCAGATATGTTTAATATAATTAATATAGTTAATATATTTAATATAAATTAAATATATAAATAGAAGATTAAATTCATTAGAAAAAAGATAACTATCAATTGCTAGATGCAATACGATCAGTTCAATAATGGCTATATGCAACCTCCCTTTTTATAAAGATAGCATAAAATTACTCTTTTCTATTTATAATTAATTCTTCTTTTGTATTTCTTTAGTATTTTTATCTTTTAGTTTATTTATTTATCAATAAAATCTTTTTATCTGAAATGATTTTGTGATACTTTATATTAGAAATGTAATTAATATTTGATATAACTAATGAAAATATACTCGATAGTATATTAAATATATTTGGCAGTATATCACAGATAAATTATACATTTGTCAAAGGTTTAAATATATTTTTCAGTATATAATAGAACCTTGTTTAACTTAAAAACTATAAATTTAACTACGAATTTAACTATGGAATTTACTATATAAACTATAAAAGAGTCAATTTACTGATACCATATCTAATAATTGCAACCTAAAAAAATTGCATGTTAATAACACAATAAAAATTTAACAAACAAGACTAAATCTCTTTATAATAATTTAAATTTCATAAAATATAGTTCATTTTTAAGTTTTTAATATCTTAAATCTAATGGTATTAGTTTGATAATTTTTTGACTGATCAATTAATTTCTTAAGCAATTAATAATCTTTATACTAAATTTTACATTTTGAGATTCTATAGATAACTTCATTTTTTTTACATAATTATAGGCAATTTTTTCATCTCTTTTAAGTAATTAAATCTTAGTATCATTAGAAGATTATTTCAAAATTTACTTATAAATACTTCTTCCAAAATTAAATTTAAATCTGCTCAAGATTTTTTATATAATACATATAACTAAAATTTTATCAAGTATTAAAGTTATTTTAGCTTTCTGTAATCTAATTTTGATGAATTTAATAAATTTTAAAGCTTTTTTAAAATTAAATCTGATTATCATAAATTTTTATTTTTATGATCTTTTATATTTCTTAGATCTCTTAGATTTATTTTAAGAATTTGTAACTTAAATAATTAATTTTAAACACTTAAAGATAATCCTATTTTCTTTTATATTAATATACAATTTCTCACTTTATTTAAGTTTTCAGATAGTGAAAGTATTATTACTTTTCTAACAATTCATTTTGCTTTAGTTCTGATATTTACACTTGCTTAAGATTCTTTTATAATAAGTTTCAAAATAATTGCTTTTTGTTTTATACAAATATTTCTGAATTGAGTGATTGGATTGAGTAATTGGATTTTTTAAATTTGGTCTTATTTAAAAGGTTCAGAACCTATTGAATTTGCTTGTTAAAGTTTGATAAGAATTAGATTAGTTAATATTAAGATATTAAGATATTTATATTTAAATATTATTATAACAAATTGAAACTTTACATTTTTAATCAAATTATTTAATTTTTTAGAAAAAGAATTAAAGTGAATTGCTGATATAATATATTTTATTTTTAAATAAGTGTATTTTAGTGATTTAATACTCAAAAATAATTCGTATAGTATGTATTAGTGTTACACCTAAAATTAATATGCAAAAATATTTTTTTTTTTATAAGTGCAGCAGCCTCATATGATCTTTATTAATAATATGAATTTATAAGAAAAACAAAATAAAATAGAAAATACAAAAATATCTATAAACTAATCTAGTGAACTAAACTACTTTATCAATACCAATCTTATACTTTATTGAACTAAACTATACATCAGAAAAGAAAAGAAAACTAATCTAAACTAAAATACAAATATCAAACATCTGGAAGAAAAGGCATGGTACAGCTGGACCAGAAATTTGACCAGTGGGTACTATGAGCAATTGCTGCTGTGAAAGAAGTAATATTATGTGAAGGTGTTTGTGTAAAGTGAGAAAAACCTGAGGATATCCAAACTGTAATGAAATCATCTTTGATGTTGTTAGAGGTTTTTCATATTTGTAGTGATTTACATCTTTTTAACCATATCTTGTGGATTGAGTAGAATATGTCATCAAATAGGGATAATATAAGTCCAAGAGTGAGTTGTTTGTTATTTATAATATTATTAATTGATGTGGTGAGAGATGAAGAAATGATCTCTTTTAATAAGTCTATAAAACATAAATTGTTATTGATTGAGCTGCAATTTCATATTGGAAATTAATTTACATACAAAATATGTGTTTCATTGTTAGATCTATTAAGTTCTTTAAGTTGAGACATGAATGATTATTTGTATACAAGGATGATGTTGATAAGAGGAGTTATATTATTGAACAAATTCAAATGTGATAAAGTCTTCAATTGTATTATTACAATAGAGTAATTATTGGAATGATAAGTTTGCAGGTATCATGTATTTATGATCATTAAGGTTTGAAGTAATTGTAAGATCAATTTAAGTTTAAATTATTTTTTCTTACATGTATCAAATGATGTCACACTAGCATTTTCTGAGTCATTGAGAACATAAAAAAGAGTTTGCCAATCAATGTGATAATTGCTATATTTAGCAAGTTGGGGAGAGTTAAAAATGTTTTGACCTAAAAGGCTTGTTGTAGGTGTTTAATAAATAAATGAGGCAGAGTGATGATTGGTATGTTATTATAAAATATAAAATATTTAAGACCTAGATGTTTGTTGTTGATGATCAAAAGAGTACTGGAAAATTGTTTTACTAGAGTATCTATTTTGTTGTTAAATTGATTTGATTATTGAGCTTTGACTTTTGTGAGTATTAATGTAACTTTCTTAGTTATAAGAAGCTGCATCAAGATCATCTAAATGTGAAAATACGGAATTTTGAAGGCGGGATTCAAAGAGGGAGATTCTTTACATATTATGACGGTCTTATAATATGATACAATTGCAGCTTGTGAATCAATACAGATTTCAATGTTGAAATTTGGTAGTGCAGTATAAGTTGCTAATGTAGAGAAAGGAGAATATAACATACAGTGGCAGTCAAAAGTATTGCATCACCCGAACACAAATTTTAAAATTGCAATTTTTTGACAATTAAGGCGGCGCAGTGTACAAAACTTTATTTTTAGACTTATTATAACGAATCAATTTAGTGGTATAAATTTCATTACGCAGTGATGGAATAAAAATTTTTTAAAATAATATTTTTTGTCGATCATGCGATGCTTTTCTTTTGACCGAATTTTATAAAATATTTTTATATAAATAAAAAAAAAATTTATTATTTCAATTATAATAAAACTTTGGTAAAAAATTGTTTACCATCTTGTATAGCCACCATTAGCTCTAATTACATCATTTATACGAGTTGGCATAGTATCAACCAACTTTTTACATACATCGGACCCCAATTCAACCCAAATCTTTTGAATTGCATCCCATAAATGATCCTGTGTTCTAACAGGTGTTTCAAGCCGTCTCAAACGACGGTCCATTTCATTCCAAAGATGTTCTATTGGATTTAAGTCAGGGGACTGTGCTGGCCAATCAAGAACCTTAACCCTATTATCTTCAAACCATTGCTTTGTGAGATGTGCTGTATGTTTAGGATCATTATCCTGTTGAAAAATAATATTTTCCTTATCCATTCCATGCCACTCGATGGTTCCTAATAGGTCTTCCTTTAAAATTTGACGATATAAATCACCATTCATATGTCCATAAATTCGGCATATGTTACCAACCCCATCAGATGTAAAACATCCCCACACCATAATATTACCCCATCCAAATTTGACCGTTGGTTTAACATGATGATCGCGTAACGGTTCATTTGGTTTTTTCCAACAATATTCTCTACCATCTGATCCATAAATCATAAATTTTGACTCATCTGACCAAATAACTTTATTCCAATCCTCTACTGTCCATGATCGATATTTTTTTGCAAATTTCATACGAGCAATTCTATGCATTTTTCGAAGATAAGGTTTTTTACGCTTGATTCTTGAGTTTAATCCATTTCGTCGTAAGGTCCGCTTTACTGTACTTTCACTAACTTCGATTTGTTCTTCAACTTTTAACTTTTTTTGAATTGAAACTGCATTTGTACATTTTCCTGATGAAATAAGCCGCAAAACATTTCGTTCATTTCGACCTGTTAGGTGTCGTGGACGTCCAGGCTTTGGTTGATTTTTGAAGGTACCATTTTTATCTTTTCTTTGCTTAATTCTAATAACAGTTGATTGAGAAATATTTTCTTTGGATGCAATATAACGAGAGGGATATCCCTCTTCAAATAGAGTACAAATCCTTGACCTTTTTTCAACAGATAAATAACCCATCAATATTTTTTTTTTTAAAAAAAAAAAGGATGCCTAAAGGCATCCTTTTTATATGTGTTGCATGATTGTTTTGAATAAAAATAATCGCGTACGATATGAAGTTATTTATTTTCATAAAATCGGTCATAATAAATGCATCGCTCAATTTGTATGTTTTTACATTTCGCGAAAAATAATTTTTGTTTTCTTAAAAAAAAGATTATATAGATTGATAAAATAGGGTATGACGAACCCCTTAAATAAGTTTTGTAACACTGTGATTTCTTAATCTCAATAAATTGCAATTTTAAGATTTGCATTCAGGTGATGCAATTCTTTTGACCGCCACTGTATGTCTTGATTCGGGAATAGATTCTTCCGCTCCTACCTCATATGTTCCACTACCCTGTGATGATCGAGAGGAATTCATCTATCATCACATGTCAAGAAACTATCCCGAAAAGAATTTTTCTTTTACAATGCAAGGTAATAGTTAGTTGGATGAATCTTCCTCCGGTCTCGAACTTACAATACAATAAGAATACAATACTTACCTCCCTTTCCTTTGGCCTCGCTTTAGCATTTCGAGAATGAGATTATTCCGGGAAAAATTTGTCTATTCCAGGATCATCTATCGGAATAAAAAAAATAATATATATGAATCAGCTCGGCAAGAATTTTTTCGATATCGTACTGCGCATTTAGGTGATCGTTTTCACGTGATTATTCCGCAGATATTTATTTTTTACGCGATTCCAATTCATGTCAATGCTTTTAATCGAAGAGGCTCTAGAACGCTAAATTAAAGATAAGTATTGTTAATATATTCTATTACAACTGCACATCTTCATTAGCTATGGAGCAAAACTTACTAACCAATTCTTTAGATCTTAGTGCCGGCAATAATCTGGATGGGGAATACAAATTTTTGAAGGCTCTAGGACTAATAGAAGATGATGACGAAGTTAAGATAGGTGATGATGATACCAATGATGAATTTGGAAGGGGCGATGATACCAATGTTGATGAAGAAATCTGGACAGTTGATGATGATACCGAAGAAAAAGATGATGATGAATGGTGGGATCCTAGTAAACCGTATACTGGATGGGATTATATAGCCCACTTTGGTGAAGATGCTTGGGATATTGTATATCAAGCTCGGCTAGCTCGTTATCGTAATATTGCTCTTAGGGAATTTACCAGGCGCCTTTTGAATATTTCTGAACAAGCTAAAAATGGATTATTTGACGCATTTTCTAGATCTGATGAATTTGGGGCGAAAGAACATAATGCACTCTTGGATACGTTAGCCGATCCCGTGAAAGGTTGGGATCTTGATAATTATTGAATGGATAATTCCTGGCAGATTATGCCTGTGGCGCAATTACTTATACCCGGTCCACATTACGAAGTCAATGCTACGATCGCGAATTTGAATTTATTGCCTGAAGTGAAGCAAGTAAGACAATATTCTGTTCCATTTTTATACCATTCGCCATGTAATCCATAATTCCCATGTTTTCCATCACAAATAGGACATGGTGAGCTTGACGGCTGAGGTGATGCAAAAATATAATTATCAATCCCTCTAAAACTATTTTGGAATTTCAAGTATGGGAAGTGCTCTAAGACGGATTTGATAATTAATTCTGGATTGGGTTTGACTTCGAAAGTGATAGGCTTTTCTGATAATTGCCATGGCTCATACCCAGTTTCTTTTTTATATTTTTTGTATAAGCTGGACCGAATCCTATTTGTCAAAACACTTGGTAACCAAGTTAACTTAGCATGCTAATTCAGGTATTCGGAAGTTAATATTTTATTGGATTCACTCATGTTTCCTTTTTCTATGAACACAGATCAATTTAAATCCCTTTTTTCTCTTTAGTTCGAAAAATAGATCATCTCCTGCAGGGGTGAGACTATGCAGTTATCTCAATTTCGCGCTGTTCACATTTAATAAAGTAAGATCCAGCTTTATACCTACCTTCTATACTTTTCTCATCATCATGATCTAAACTGCATAACGGGCATGATGTCTCGTCAGTAATGCCATAATAATCGAAATTTTCGCTACTAAATTCTCTATATAAAGCAGGATATTGATCCAATGTCTTGTTGCGAAAATAAGAGCGGTCATAAGTTGGCTTAGTCCTAGGAATTGATACGGGTGATACACTTGCTTGAGGTGTGACTGGTGAAATCATTCGTGCTGGTTCGGTTCTGGAGGAATTACTTGAAGAATTAGAGTTATGAGTTTAAGGAATAAGTGCACTTATCTGGTCATTCTTAGTTTTTGGTGGAGTATTCTTAGGCAAATTTTTTCCGGGACATAATGTTTCGGAAATTTCAGTCACATGATCTGTTACCAGAGGTAACTTTTCCAAAGATATTCAATAATCTATAACCTTTTGAATTTGTTCATTAGTAAGCTCTAAAATAGAAGTTGCACTATAAGATTTTATATACTTGATTTTATTCAGGCCCACTTGTTCGATAAATTTATAGACTTTCTCAGCTCTCTGAGTTTTCTTACGCAAACTATCTCGTGATACATCTCGAAGTTGTAACCCCGTTTCTTGGGATCTCTGTTTACGAAGCAAATTAAGCTGTTTTGTAATGGAATCATACAGTAAGCCTCTTGCTTTCTTTTCACCAATTTTGCTTCCGCTATTTTCTATAATTCCGTTGAGCTGAATTATGAAATCTTTCGCATAGAGGTACCAGCATAAAATTTCTTCCTGATTAGCTCGATTAGCTTTATCTTCAGCATCAAAAGCTTTATCGCATAACTGAGCTAGATGTTGTGAGGCCTCATCAATGCTAGATTTATTAGAGGTAACTTTTCCGGAACATAATGTCTCGGAGATTTTGGTCACATGATTTTGTTCTATTGATGAATCTTGTGTAGATAACTCTGGAGCAAATAATTCTTGCTTAAGCTTATCCACACCCTTCCCCTTCTTGCACTTTGAATCCAGTTCGCTATATATCTTTTCTTCCGATGACGTGCTATTGCATGGCTGAGTAACCGAGTTGAGATCTTGAGACATTTTCTCTTCAGGATGTGTTGAAAGGGACTCTTAGGCTTGAAGTTTCTTTTCCCGATTTTTCTGTCTAATCGGTAATGAAGTATCTGCCAATGGTTTCTCATGTTGCGTTACTGTGAGCACCTGATCTACAACCAAATTGAAGTTAGATGAAGAGTTGTTAGGAGTATTATCATTTTGTGTCTGCTTCTGTTCCACTTTCGTGATTCTATCTCCAAACTCAGATTCCATCTCCTCGATTCTAGCCCTGAGTTTGGCATTTTCAGCATCACGCTTCTCATTATATTTCGCATTCGATCTTAGAGTCTCCGCATTCTTACGCTTAAGTTCAGCTATTTTAGCATCAGACACTAAGAGTTTGAATCTAAGATCGCGGATCTCAGTATTCTCTTTCCTAAGCTCTGCATTCTCAGCCTCAAGTTCAGTGATACGCTGTTTCAATAATTCAAGCTCGGATGACATGATCTATAATATATAAAACTAATACACTGTATATAAGCATTCAAAATAAAAAAATTGCGGGTTCAATAAAATAATAATACTTTATTTATGAAATAAAAAACATTGCTGGAACCAAGCCTACAATACATAAAAAATTGGCCGTTAAGACGTTTTGCACGACTATATCGCTTTACATAATATAGATAAAAAATTTCTAACTAGTTGGGGGGTTACTTAATTTCGAACTGATCTCTTTTACAAGGTGAACTCCTAATGCTCCTTTTCGATTATCTTGATTTATAAAATAAGACTATTAGAATAACGAGGACCTTATCAATAAAATACAGCTATAAGAAACATTTAATTACTCACACAGTTTCTTAATGTAGTCTTCAAGTTCTAATGCTTG